AGACTCTTAAGATCATCAAGTCCAACCGTTAACCTATCACTGCCAAGTCCACCACTAAACCATGTCCTCGAGCACCATGTCTACCCTTCTTTTAAATACCTCCAGGGATACTCAACCACTTCCCTGGGCAGCCTGTTCCAATGCCTGACTACCCTTTCGGTGAAAAAGTTTTTCCTAATATCCAATCTAAACCTCCCCTGATGCAGCTTGAGGCCATTTCCTCTTGTCCTATCACTCGTTACTTGGGAGAAGAGACCAACCCCCACCTGGCTACAACCTCCTTTCAGGGAGTTGTAGAGAGCAATAAGGTCTCCCCTCAGCCTCCTCTTCAAACTAAACAACCCCAGCTCCCTCAGCTGCTTCTCGTAAGACTTGTTCTCTAGACCCTTCACCAACTTCGTTGCCCTTCTTTCGACACGATCCAGCACCTCGGTGTCCTTCTTGTAGGGAGGGGCCCAAAACCGAACACAGTACTTGAGGTGCGGCCTCACCAGTGCCAAATACAGTATAAAATAAAATGTGAACAAGGAACTTACTTACTTAGAAAAACAAAGGAAAGACCTGTTTGTCATATACAGTTCTGGAAACTGTTCTATAGATCTTCCACCAGTATCCACAGATGTGGTGAAGGAATGACTGGGTGAGGTTCCCTAAATAAAGTTACCCATTCTGGTTCCTTTTAGACCTAACAGGCTGCTAATCTGGATTCTATTCGATGCCTTTTAAAGCATTCTCTCTTCTGATAGGTGTGGAGGAAGCCATTTCTCTACTTTCTTTGACATTAAGCCAAGTTTCCTCAAATCAGTGACCAGGGCCCTTTTCTGCCTCTACAAAATGGGTATGCATGCAATGATAGGCATTTATCACTGCAGCATTGCAGGATCAACAAACTAGGTCTATAAGTCAGTCCCTTTTAGTGTCTAAAAGAGAGTTTAGACTCTCCTTTCTGCAGAAAGGCTGCAGAAATTGGGGTCTATTATGTTGGATGTGGAGGAAAAGAAAAGGAAGAAGGTAAGGAAAGAAGTTTATGCTTTTCCTCAAATCCCTTTTGCCATCCAAATTAGCACAAATTAGTTTTAGGAAGTGATGGCAATAACACATATTCTCTTTTTAAATCAGGAATAATTATGTAGAGTAGCCTATTCTAACCGCACGTGAACTCCAATCCCCCAAACTCTTGGGACCTTGGATTTTAACTTTTTCCGTTAAGAGATTTTCTGGCCTCTTAGAGACTAGTCTAGCAAATATGTATATCTATGAAAAGCAAGTTATTTTCTCACTAATTAATTCAAATCTCAGAAATAAAACTCACTCCTAATACTAGGTTCAACAGTAGAGGGGATACAAGAAGCTACTTGCCAAGAAGATGCCTACTTGCAGAATAAGATAAGGTGGTGGGGGGGGGAGTGTCTGGCTGTTCTGTGGGTGACATTGAGTGAAGTGTCAGGCAGCCAACCTATACTGTAAACAGACAGCACACCATTTCACAGAATAATGAAGAATACAGAGTTAAGTCAAGTCTATCTGCAGATTAAGGACAATACCAAACAATACCGCTAAACATACAGAGCTCTGCTTTAAATCTGGTTATCTGGGTTCTCAATCAAACTGCTTTAAAGAAGCTGACTCTCCTTCACAGCTCACTGCCATGCTCTATCGGCATCTGATGAAAAGCTCTCCTAGCTGGCAAATCTTCTGGTCCTATTGAAACCAGAATACATTTAAGCTGGAGACTTAGATTGTCTAAAGTAAGATTCCATCTGATAGCGAATGAAAGGCTAAGGGAGAAAAAGTGTAATCAGTGGCATTGCACAGTCTGACAAGGAGCCCCCTCGTCAGGCTGTGACGAGATGCCTTCTGAAGCAGAAGGTGTAGAACACTCCCCTTCAGTCAGGCAGCTGGGATTCCAGCAGCGGCTCAAATGGCTTTTGCTTTTACTCTTCTGCATAACAAAGAATTATAAAAGCCCCACTATTATACGAGTTATTTAGTTGTCACTTGTTATTTGTTTTTGCTTTCTCCCTGAAGTACAAAACATTAGAAGCTCACAGTCTGCATACTGAAAATGTCTTAATTCAAAGATCAGAAGCTCAAGTCAAGACAGAAACATACATGACTCATTTTCACAAGTAAGCCCTGTTTCAGTGAGCTTGTGTTTTATACACTCAGATATCAATAAACTCAGCACCAATATTGATAAAGTTACTAATTTCAAATTAATTGCTTCTCTTCCAGAGAATCTCCTTTTTTTGCAGCATTGCTGCAATTGCAACATAAAGAAAATAGAGTTGGATTTTGACTTGCCATGCAGAAGACAGAGCTTGGCTGTAGGGCCACATGGACCTGGTGAAAGTTAGGTATGGTTTTAGTTTTGTTCAAAACATCCAAGCTTTTATCACAGCACTTAAGGAGAGCATTAGGTTTGGAAGCTCTATGCAAGCCTATAGAGTAGAAACCCCATAGAAACACCCTTTCATTCAAGCTTCCACAATACCCAGCTTTTCTCATTGGGCATTCAAATAAGGATTTTCATTTATCCTTAAGCGTAATCAACTCAACTATCTTATAGAACAGCCTGCATTTACAAAAATAAAAAAAAAACCAAACCAACAAACCAACAACAAAAACACCCCAAGACATGTGAGGTTAAATGTGTACAGAATTCTGCAGCCAAATCCACAATTAAATGCCTAGCATGTGAAAAGCTGAAATGCTAAAAGAAAATAAAAGCTTATTTTACGTAAGGACATATTGTGTAGTTTTTAAACACTATCCATATAGCTACCTAAATGAAATACCATGTTCTTTCAGAAATAATGACCTGCTTGCAAGAAGATAATCAGCACTTTCGACTGGCAAAATACAGCAAAACTGTGTCAAAATCACATGTATACATTGGGGAAAACTCTGTAGGCCTGTGGACTCCATCAGCAAGAATAGATTCAGCTTCATAACTCACATCACGCCTTGACTTTAACATCGACATACTACTGTACACTCCTTTAAAAATTCAGTAACTTGCTTCACACATACTAGTTTCATTAACAGTTCCCTCTCTAAGATGAAACAATTCTCCTGACTGACAATTTGTAAAAGAATTCTTCCCAAGTCAGATTATCTGTGGCAGTCCCACTTATTGGTCTCTCTCCCCTACCACATACAAACATACCTCTACTTTGACATCTGTGCATCAGCAAAATGAATCCTTTTCTTTAATGACCGATGCTTATATTACAAAATGAGCACAGAGATCTGCTCCGAAAAATTCAACTCTTCTTTGAAATTTCCCCATACAATATTCATAATATTGACTAGTCAGTAATTGCCAATTGACTGGCGAGTAATTAAAATGAAATCATCAGGAAGTCTGAAAAATAGTCAGCTGAGCAAGTACCTAATAATATAACCCGTTTCTTTTAAATACAAGTATTTTAGCACTATCTTGTCCTGCAGTCACAACAGTCGTGAGGTCAGCACCAATTTGCAAAAGATGCATGGTTTTCAAACACTTAAGCTCCATTTGATTTTGATACACCACAAACTCCAACTATTGTCTTAACTACTCCTAAAGAAGCATGAACCTTATCTCCTGGAGCTGTTGTACTGAGTGTCACTAATGTTTAGTTATTTACATTAGTTTGTTTAATGGAACCATTCCAGAGGCAGCTGAAAGGAAATGTTTAAACCCAAAGCCTAGCAGTAACAGAGAACTTACGGAATGAACAAAAGCAGCAGCTTAGACCCTACACAAATGGAAGTCTGCAGAAACTGATGGAGGTCTCTAGTAGCAGAAACTCAGAGGCAAGATGCGTGGCATCAGTAAATGATCAAAATATTTGCTTTGGGGTTTCTAGGGGCAAAATGGTTCCCGAAGTGCATAATCTTAAACAGAGTGATGACAGGATTCAGAGCAAATATTCAAAAGCATATCACAGAGAAGTTCTGATAAATCCCTGGCCGCAACTGAAAGGTGACTTTCCAATGAAGCAAACCAACTTTTCTCTTGAAAGAAAGCAGATGGTGGAAACTCCCTTTCCCACAGCCAGCTTGAATTTCTACCCAATGCATAGGGCAAACAGGCAGTGCCATAGCCAATGCATCTACTCCTCTTAGCACTGTAAGTAACCTGTTTTCCTTCAACAGCTGAGGCACTATATAGCATCTGTGGAATACCTTTAGAAACCCAGTACTTCAAATCTTTCCAGCAAAAATAATAGCACCATTTCCTTGCTTCCAAGCATCAAATGTAACATGTATTTGTAACATCCTGACATCAGCTTTCAGAGCAAAACCCAGACAAATACTTAAAAGGAGGCGTTGAAGTTTAAGGGTTTCAGAACACACTAGTTTGAGGGAGTTTCTCTCTGACACATTGCAAATGTTTATTTACTGATCATTTGCACCAAAAGTCTAGACTGAAAATGGCATTTGAGAGGAGTGAATTAGACACAGCAGGTGCATAGTGGCCCCTTCAAATAGTCCTTCAATCAGATTTTAGCATTATTGAGCACCAAAATAATTGACAAAAAACCAGAGACATAGCATCCTCCTGATAGCTAAGTACCTTTTAACATAGACTTCTCTATCTGCATTCTCAAAAGGCGAAGTATTGATACCTCCTACGGAACTGCAATAATATACTTACCTATATATACTGACAGGAATGAAACAGCTCCAGCAATGCTGATTCTGAAGACAGCATTTACAAAATCATATCAGAGCTATGGAAGTATTAACCTGAAAGGACTTACCTGCATTTTATTTTGGATAATAACTCTCACTAGTTATATATCTTTTAAACGGGATGATTGAACCTTATACAGAGTCTGACATTAATCTAATTACCATCATATATGAGAGCGATGTACTGTATTATGAGAGCAAATACTATTCACAGCTTAGAGATAACTCTCCCATTTGCTAATTAGTCATTTTAACAAACAGATGAAAACGATCTTTCCCAGGGAACAGAACAAAAGCCAAGGAGAGAAGCTACTCACATTCCTTTGAGCCGTTGCCACATTTTCTCTGCATGTCCTCCTATTTGATACTTTATAGAGGTGCTTTCCAGTTCCCGAGTTGTTTCCGTCGCTCGAGCCCCCATCGTTATTGTCCTACAGCGATACAGTTACAGTCAGGCTCAGCAGCAAGTAAAAGCATTCTTTAGTCCACTACAAATGTCAGAAGATCCACGCATGTTAGACAGTAGCTGCTGTCATATCAAAACACATCAGAATTACAACAGCTGAGGAATGATCCTGCCTGAATCGCTATTCACTTTGATAGACAAATTCACTCTCCCCCCCACCCCCCCGCCAAGCACGGAGCAAGTACACAGAGCTCCTCTGACCTCACGAGTCTAATCCATACGGGTGAGCCAGCTACTATACTACTGACTGCTCAAGCTCCTTTCTCATGCACTTTTTCTGTTGTAGGAATACGCACAGAAGCACAAAAGATTCCTTAAAATGGACTATAATTCATTGCCATACAGGATAAATGTGAATGGCTTTAACAATCCAGAAGGAAAGAAAGGCTGGTTTCTGCTCTGCAGGTTGGAGAAACAGGCTGCAATAGGAAAGCAGATGGTAGAAGCCAGTATCAGCCACATCACCCTACAAAAAGAGTGCATGTTCAAATGCCAGAGCTTTCCTCTCTTTAGCTGATCCCGAATTGATCTTAATGAATAAATATCTACCAGCCTCTCAATAAAAATATGACTGTACAAATGCTAAGTCGGTAGTGAAGACATCTATAAATCCCTGCAGAAGAGAAATTAGAGAGCTCTACAGGTTGTTATTGAAGGAATATGCTGTAATGATGACTATTCACCTTCTCCTAGCAACTCCACACAGTAGGTAACTGTCAATTTAACTGGTGGAAAATGCAGCAGCTGCAAGACAGCCCGCTCAGCGAATCCTTCGGGACAGCAGCATGCGTGTGTCAAAATCTGATGCTGAACTGTGTGTACCTGCCAGCAAGAAACAGTTAAGCGCATGCAAACAGCAAAAGGGTTGAGGGCTAAGTGGTACGCCAGCCGTGCAGCAGATTGCCAGCTCTGCCTTTCAAGTGCAAACCTAAGAACCTAGGTGTACAGCCAAGGATGGGGTTTGGGGAGGGCAAAGGAGAGGATTTCCTTGCTGCTTGCTTAGCCACAGACTTGGGTTTGCAGAGCACCTCCTGTACTCTGTAAATAGCACCTGTCTTGTTTGATGAGTCAGTAACAATCTTCATTTCTGAAGCAGCAGCCAAATAATCAAATATACCACAGACTTATCTCAGTGATCATGTTTGTTTCAATCAGAGTAAGAGCCGTGCAAGAAGCCAGGCAAGAGGGGTGTGCCAAGTAGGAGTAACTATGTCTGAGCCTTGCCAGCTACTGGTGTCACTGCTAGCCGGGAAAAGGGGCTTTGGGTCCATGATGGAACAGTGAGGATGAGTGTCCTCGGATGCTGACTGGAAGGAGCCTAAGGGTAGGAGATGCATATCTCAGTATGGCTTTAACTAGACAGCTTTATCCGTGTTAAATTTTACAAAGATGTGAGATGATGAGAGCTTCCCATCTGATGCAATTGGCAGAAATGGATAATATTGTTAAGTACTCAGGATCTTACAGAAAAATAAAAAAGAGGCTCACTGCTTTGAAATAATCCTAACACTTCAGAATTTCCTAATCAATTTTCTTTCTCTAGGACACCTTTTATGCACATTATAGATTTAAAAAATACCCTATGAGAGTTGTAAACCAGCTTGAGATGCATCTTTTGCACACTGATTTCAGAGGTACATTTAATTTACTTCTATGGATTTAACACATACACAGTTTTAAACTGGTATTAATTCACGGACTTTCACAGAATTATTCCTGACTCAGACATATAAGAGTCAGTCCCATAAAATTCACTAGCAATACCTGAAAAACAGTCACTGGGTGAGTAACATCTCTTACAATTTTCAAACAGCATCATACAACAACAGTAAGGAGATACAAACAGCTGTTTTTTCAAAAACTGCAAAGCATTTATTTGGTTAAAGGAGGCAGAAGTATCTTTGAAACTTCACTGAGGAACCACTTAAAAACTTCCAAACTTTCCACTCCTGTTATGCATGGAGTCCAACTAAAGTTTGTAAGAAAGAGTATAAATATCCTTCCATGGAATAACTAATGAGAACCTCTGGCACTAATCTGGGTTCTTCCCTGCCATTTAACTGCCAGACATCTGAAGCAATGCAAAGAAATTAAGTATTTATAGAAACCACATAAACCTCCAGGGACAGAAGGGAATTTTAAGGGCCTATTTTTTCTCATAAAGTATTCCTGGCTCTTGTTGTCCAAGTCTACAATGAAAAAATAGTGGTGTTTGTAAGCTGTTCTCTCTCCCTCACAAGGAAATAAGTAGTTGAAAATACATTGCTTTGATGTACTGGAGAAAAGTACTATAAGCAGGTAATATCCTTCAGGAAGAGAGGAAGGAACAAACTGCCCAAATAATATCACTGCAAATGGAGATACACCTGCTAACTGCACCAGAACTCCATGAAGGAAAACTATAAAAACTTTGCTCTCTGCAGGACCTCACCACTGCAACAACAGAAATTCCTACAACGAAAGCACCTGGCATGGATTAAGCAAAGGACAAACAAAGCGGCCTCTTCCCCAAAGGTTTATCCTGAGGATCGATATAGCAAACCACCAGAGATGACACTAAAGGATGAAATTGTGTCTCTGAAAGTGAAAGAAACAGCAGGAAACACATAAAAACAGATAGATAAGGTATTGGAAAATTAGAAGTGTCCTATATGTCCCTAAGGAGAGAGAAACAAACCATTTAAAACAAACGAACAAACAACTTTTAGGTATGCTGTTATCTTGGGAAACGTGAGCAAAGAAATCCTCATGGAGACATGGGGAAAGGAAGGACCTTTCCTCCCTTTAGCTTCTGTGAATAACGCTCAGAGAATGAAGCAGCCAAGCCTGCACCCCTCCTCCCACTCAGAGAAAAGCAGGCACAGAGGCTGAGAACGACAGATCCAAAGCAGTGCCAACACCCCTCTGGCTGCAAGAGGTGGCACAGGGCAGAAAGGACAGGAGTGTGCCGCTGGAATATAGGTCAACCGTACGTTAAAGCCCATATGTAACAATGAGGGGATCAGAGGAGGAATTACAGAAAACTTGACTTGCTGAGAAAGACACATCTGTGCCCCTGCAGTACAAACTGGTCTAAAGAAGATCCAGAATAATAAACAATGAGCAGCTACTTTAGGAAGCCAAATCAACCAGAGAGATAGCACCTGAAATGATAGGTTAGCTTAAATAGTTTTTCTCTTTTCTTTCTCTTTTTCCTGTTCTTGTTCTGGTTTTCTGTTCTTGCCCTAGCTCACCCGGTGTTTCTGCAGCAGTTCCAGCAAGTTGTTGTTACAGTCCATCTTCCTCCTATAAAAATATTGTCTTTTTTGCCCTTTGTCCACAGCTTTTTCTTTTTTTTTTAAATTTCAGCTTAAAATTTCCATACTAAAGTGAACACTAAAGGAAAGCTTCTATTAGTGAATACAGAGATATATTAAAATAGGAATAATTAACTTTTTGCCTTTAATTATGGCAAAATAAAACTGTCCCAATGCCACTTAATCCTCAGATAGGAAGCTACAGTTAATGATAACGTATCCTAAGCTCCTTTTCTTTCATCTAAAAATACTTCACTTCAGTAGTAATATCAACGCAAAGAAATAATTTTAAAATACACCCAACAGTAAAGAAATCAGGTTCAATATTGAGTACTGAGAGACCTTTACAGTTATGCCAAAAATCACACACTTACAATGAAGACAACTTACCTTAAAATTAGGAAAATCCTGCAGCTAGCCCAGTTAGAGATTAGCTATGGAAACAGGAAAGGGATCGTGCAGGTTTTGATGAGGAGAATTGGAGCTTTATTTTAAATAAATCCTCTGCTCCTGAAGGTAAATTAAATATGCTGCTTTGTTTGAAATTATCTTCAAAACATCTAACTCATGACAAATGGAGAATAAGGAAGTATCAAGAGGCCTGCAGGGTGACTTGTCAGACTAATAATACTCATCCCTCCAAACCTGACAACACAAACCTCCCTGGGGTGGAACTGCAGGAGAGCAATGAACCAATTAAGAACTTTGAAAACAAGGGGGGGACACACGACACCAAAACAAAATGAAACCAACAAACCCTCAAAAAGATAAGATAAATTTATTTTAAGTAGTGACAGCAGGTATTAGATCTGTATGCTGACTGTCCTGGCCCTGATTTAGCAAGCGCTAATACACATTTAATTTTAAGCAGGTAAAGCATTGCATTTATTTGCTGGGTAAGACAGAGTTCAACACCATCGTAAATAACAGAGTTAAATTACTGAAGAACTGCCTGCCACTGGACTCAAGTGTTGTGAACAGAACTTAAGGTAGGACAGAGATCTCATCTCTCAAATTCTGCCCTTGGGGAAAAGGAATGCTAGACAGTGTTCTCCATGTCTCCTTCTGCCGTCCCCATTGTCTATTACCTTCGCGTTTGTGAAGTGATGTGCAATCCCCTTCTTCACAAGCAGAGTTTCCAGCCTGCTTGCAATGCCCAAATGTGCAAATTATTAATCAATAAGAAGCGCAGCAGAGGAAAAAGGAATATTTGATCTTATTAAAGTTCATGGACTTTATTTAAATACATAGGTCTCCAGCAATCTGGCAATGGCAAAATATTGATGTTACAGTAATCTTGGATTTTCAGATTTTCCATGGAATATATTAATAAAATTAGTAGAGTTACATAATTGAGGAATAGCAACTTTAAAGATTTACACATATGGTCTACACAGTGCATTGGCATTGACTCAGTTAAGTAGGTAAAAGAGTTGGGATTGATATATTAACAGTGATTAGATGATCTAAATAAGGAGACCCAACAAGGAACATTTTCCCTTTAATTTTTTTCTTTTATTTTAGTATCTTCTGCTACATCTGATTTACTGTATTTGAGGCTTCTTCATATAATCACTAAAGTATTTATATTCATTCACGTGTCCCGCAAGTACCAAGCTTTAAGTATAGCAGGGAGAAAAAATATCTTCTATTTGTTTGCTATGTGCATGGCATATCATATTAGTAATGAACATGGAGTCAGATTTACCAAAGCTTTTAGGCAATTAAAAATGAAAAAAAATACCCACGAAAGCTTGCAAGCAAATTAGTTGATAAACCTCAGGGCACAAATAGACATATATTTGCAAACCTATTTATGACATATTAAGACCTTGTCACATTTGATTGTTCAATACTGCCCCTTACTAGAGGTCACCAGCTCCAAAAGTCTGTCATGACTGTCTGTGAGTGTTCACAGACCAGTTCAGTGCCAAGTAAAGTTGGGTTGATTAAAGCAGATGTCTTAAATCTGCACTAATGTTGTCTAGGACCTCACTGCAGTCAATAGAATTTAGACGTCCAGGTGTCTTAGGCAGGCACATGTATTTTTAAGTTTACTTTGAATATGATCTTTCACTCAATTTTCTTTAAGGAATCATTCACTTACTCCAGTGAACCAAAGAATCTGAAAAATTCTGAGAGATGGAGAGACGGCAAAAAATGAATAATTGCAGAGATGTGGAATGCATGAGAGGCGTGCTATGGATAATCCGAACAAAAAGAACTGCAGGGGAAAACTTGCTACTGCATCATCAGTAGCAAGACAGAAAAAGATAAAAAGATGACTGTTTTTTTGAG